GATTGCTAATTACTAATTAGCCAAATAACACTTTCACTATTTTAAAATTTGTATCTGTAAAACAATTATAGAAATTTTGCTATTTATGTATGGGATATTCTCTTGTTTTAATGAGTAGTAAAAATATGATATGATTCATTTTACAATTTGTAGTTATTTTCTATTCTAAAATTCGAAATGTAATATTTTCTCCGTTTTGTCCTAAGTTTCATTTAAATTTCTGTAACACATATTTCTCATGAATAAGTTTATCTTTTCAGTCAATAAATTAATCAATAATCAGTATTTTAGCTTGCAAATCCTTCCAACACAACAACAAATGGGCTTTTTGAGTATTTTAAATGGGTTTTCTATGCTTCAAAATATGTGGGTCTATAGGCTAAAAATTAAAGATACAGAAATTAGCCAGAATGATTCGTGCTGGACAGTATCAATCGCGAAGATCCATGGTGGTTTCTCTGGCGGAGAGATACAGGTATCATTGATAAATCTCGTAGATCCATGCTTTTTTCGTTTGCTTAATATGTTCACTGTCGGAGAAGACTCCACGAGAGAAACCACCACGGATCTTGGAGATCTGAGAACCAGAGGACGGAATCTTGATGAGGAGACAGAACATATCTCGTACGAAAAAAGCATGGATCTACGAGATTTGTCAATGATACATGTATCTCTCTGCCAGAAAAACCACCATGGATCTTCGCGATTGATACCTGTCCAGCACGAATCATTCTAGCTAGTTTCTGCATCTCTTTCTAAGTAAATTTTCTTTGCGGCTGTGATATTAGGATTTTGTTATAAAATCATGTTATATATGTGAGACAAGAGAATGTCCGTGAAGCATTTTGAGTTATAAGAAGTATAGTGTGATTAGGTCATGGATTAGGTCATGATATAGAGTTTGCCTTGTTATAACATGATATAGAGTTTGTCTTCTTATAACATAATATAGAGTTTTGAACAATGTTGACGCAAACTATTCTACATGATTTTTGAGTTTCAGTAACTTGAATCAGTGAAACATGCATTATAATCCAGGACCAGACCATCAAACCAGAGCATCAAGTTCCCATTTTCTTTGAGATTACCAAGTGATTACTAGAGAGAGTCCGAGGTAACATACCGAGAAGTCCAGTGTAGTAAGATAAAGGAATATCGGTGTGTTGGATCTTAAAGTGGTGTGAGTTAGGAGTAGGAGTAAAAGTAGTGTACTCTTCCCATCCAACAACTCCCCAAATCAATTCTCCAATTGTGTAATCTGGATGTCCAGAATCTATCACCTTAGACACTCCAAACGCATAGATTGGCTTCAAAACAAGACAGTGAATAAGCTTTAGGCACAAGAGAGTATAAGAAAATCTTGCATAACATGGTACACATTGCAATGAACATTTTACACAATGCTTCGATATGATTTATGGATTCAAAATTTATAATTTCTTGATAGGCTTCAATATTCTTTCTCAAGGAGATCAATGAATAGACCAAATTTATCGCTGTGTCAAGAGTAAAATCGTTTCCATAAAGAGGAAACGTGTTCTTCACGAAGAAAGAACAAAACACAATACCAAAAGTCATGTTAATCCAAATCGAATTTCACAATTTTTGTTTCGTTTTGTTTACATAGAACAATTTTACGTAGATCTGTGAACTAAACATTCTCGTTTCGTTACCTCGCCAGGATTGTAAGCTTGAGCGAGAGCAGCAGTGGAAGGATCAGGCTTCCCCATGCGAATGCGCATGTAAGGATCACAAGATAAGTAGAGATTCTTCAACAGAACCGTCGTGGATCCTGCCGGAATCTTTAGATCGATGGTTGTATCGTTGAAAATGAGGTCAGATTCCTTGGGAAAACCGGTGACGTAATCTCGTAATATGACTCGCTTGTTGGTCGTCGTTGCTTCGCCTGTGGTCGCCATTTCTCTCCGATTTATTCGATTCACAAAAGATGATTTTTTTTCTTTCTTTTTCTTCTTCCTACGTTGAGGACGTTTTCTTCATTTATAGGCTTTGTGAATTGTGTGATCAGAGTCACAACCGCTAAAAAAAGAAACTATATATGATTCTCGTATTATTTTGTTCTTGTTATTTGATTTTTTTTTGTGTGTGATGATGATAATAAGTGACGTCACAATTGTGAATTTCACACTATTTTTTTGGCACAATCACATTTTCTTTTATGGCGACAACTTTACATAGTCTCATTAACCAATGTTATAAACTGTGATTTGGTGGTTATGTAAGAGTTTTGGTTTTGGTTTAGGTTTAACCGGTTTTCTTTGGCACAACCAAGTTTTGGACTCAGTTTCTAGTTTTGAATTTGAACAATTGCTGTGAAATGTTACAACACAGAAGAAACAAAATAAAAATGCAATAGAACAAAAAATTGAATGAGTGAGTTGTTCTTACATTTTACAAACAAAATTATGAAAACACTCAGAATTCTAAAAGTTGTCCACAACACATCAAATTTTTGCCGCGAGCTGCAGTACTGCACCAATTCTTTATGTTCAAACAGTGAAATTCCGAGTTGAATGGCGACTCCAGCTGCTTTTGCCATTCAGAGCTTCAAGCAATGAAGTAGCAGAGAAAATGGAGCTAAGATGTATGAAACCTTTTACAGACATCTGGCTTCAATTTCTTCAAGAGTTAGACCTTTTGTCTCTGGCACAATGAAGTATATGAAGAAAAGAGACAATACACATATCACTCCAAATCCACAGAACAATACTCCAGCTCCTAACAGCTCCTGCAGACAATACCAGGTCAGCAAAATAAAACCACAAAAGGTTTGGATCTCAGGAAAAACCAGAAGATGAACTAAAAAGAAGGCTTTCTTATGTTAATCCCTTGTTAAACAGTGTTCTTCTGAAGTTGTGGCTTAGTTCTATTGAGGGAATATATATACATGTAGAGAAGGAAACTATTGGTTCTGGAATCTTTAGCAATATTACCTTTAGAGGTGAGAAAGCGAATGTCACAAGCGCGTTTGTGCCGAAATTCACAAGCACTGCTAGACTAATTCCTCGACCTCTTAATTTTAAGGGAAATATCTCTGAAAGCATCAGCCAACTGATAGGGCCAAAGGAAAGCTGCAAGATTGATGGTAAATCTTTTAAGATCGTATCGAAACATTTATGAAAATATCAAAGCGCGTATGATGTTGCCAGGAAATGAACTTTGAACAGAAAATCTGCAAGAAAAATTAACCTGGTAACTGCCAACATACAGTAATAATGCAGCTACGGCAACAGCAGGTACGTTATGATAAAAGATGTAATAGGACCCCAGGAGGAACAAGGAGATCACCTGTTAGATAATTGAAAATATCAAGAAGCTAAATTTCTGAATCATTTAGGTTTTCTATTTCGTGTAATCGAAAAGACAGACGAAGAAGTCAGAGGACAGACCATGCCGCTAACACCACCAAGAAGTAAAGGTCTCCTTCCAACTTTGTCAATAACTACAACAGCAACTCCTGTCATAGCCAACTACAACAGCAAAAGACCACTTCAAGTCTTCGAACGGAAAAAAACAAAATAACTTTCCAGGAGAAGAGATTAGTTCACAAGGCTAAAACGGTTTAAAACGTGATAAGCATTCATACTTGTTACTTCTAACATTGGTATCAGAGATTTTGCTATAAAGCATATGAATCATCCTAAAAGGATCTGACATGTCAAACCAGAGGGGAGAAAATATACACCTTCAATACACCGAGGAGAATTGAGATCCGAGTTGCATCAGCTGCAGCAGAAAAACCGGCAGTCTGGTAAAAAGAAAGAAGTTAAGATTCTCTGATGAGTAATTCCTCTTACTGCAACAAAAGCCAGCTTTCTACTCTACAAGAAACTCAATTAGAAATGAAAAGAAAACCTGTAATATTGATGGTGCATAATAAAGTACACTTGGTTGCCCTGTTATCTGCCATTTGACAATAATTGTAGTTAGTAATTGTTCTTTTTCATTACGAACATTCGATGAATTGACTGCACCAACCTGTTGAAACAAGACTAAACCTCCTGCGATAGTGAGAGCTTTCAAGCATTTGCCTTGAAATAGTTCACAAAATGTAGCTTCTTTGTCCTCACCCATAAAGGAAAGTTCAGCCAAGATCTCGTTTACTTCCTCAGTTGCTGTGTCAACTATGACACTCCCTCTAAGGCGACGAAGAGACCTGATTGCAGCCTGTTGAAGGTCCTCCACATTCCCTTTGTTCTGGAGGGCGCGCAATAAAAGCCACCTAGGGGATGCTGGTAACCAACACATTCCAATTGCCATGATAACTGGCAAAGGGATAATTGTTGCGTACATGTAACGCCAACCAGAAATAACCGTAACCCAAAGGCTACCGATTCCATAACCTCCCTTCACAAAAAATTCTTTGTGTTTGTTAACTTGGTGGAAAAAAGGTAACTTCAATTTAAACTTTCGAAATTCTCAGAGCTTCGAGAACTTACAACCATCCCAAGGACAGTGGAGCATTCCTTGAGGGATATCATCCGTCCACGTATCTGACTTGGAGCAGTCTCTGCAATGTACATTGGAGCCGCGTGCATTGTCTATATGTAAAAGGAACATCAAATTCCAAGTTAAGAAGATTGCTAAAAAGTGTACTCCACAGCTATATTGGGAGATCACAATGGCATATACAAGTTTTAGGAGGCAAACACTAAAGATGCATGATCAATCTTACCAGTCCAATTCCGATGCCATACGTAACCCGTCCAATTATCAGAACGGAAAAGACAGGTGCTACTGCAGTCACAGTGGCTCCAACAAGATATAAGATTGCAGCCAAAATCAGCTCCTTTCTTCTTCCTTGAATAATTCAATGAAACAATTCAATTTCTTTCCAATGGAGACACAGCTACATACTCAGAGGTAGAAGGTCAAGAGAAACCAACCTACAATGTCGGCAACACTAAATGCCACAATGGAGCCAATTAAGGCACCATAGAGTGAGCCACTAGTCTGCACAAAAATTTTAAAAATATTGTAAGCAAATTTCTTTTCCTTCCACAATAAAGACCAGAGCTCCAGTAGGGAGGAAACAAGAACAACAAATAAAGCAAGAACCAACACGTAGAAGAACCAAGAAAGGTGAAGTATAGACTCACGATTATACCAACATCCACTGAAGACAAGTTGTACCAAGAAATTCCACTTAGCGTAGGCGACTGTATAAGAAGAAACAGAACAGTAAGAGAGTGGATCCGTTCCATATATAAGAACTTAAAACGGCTTAAACAATCGAAGAAATATACATGCAATTGATAACAATTATGCAGGAGAAATCCAAGGGAGCTAGTGTCACAGCTTTACAATATGTAACCCATGCATATTCCAGACAAGACGTGAGGAATATAGGACAGTCAAACTCGAGTACCTAGGCACAGTTTCAGACAAGGTTAAGCCATTACCCTAAGAGACATGGTTGCACAAGATGTTGCACCAATTTCATAACCAAAGAGCAACGCTCCAAGAGCTGGAAAGATAAATCTGCAACAAAAAGAACTTATTAGCCACTTGGTTTCAGAACACAACAGCCAATAAATTCCCATTGCTTTCAGCAGAAATATTGACAATGAAATAGCAATAAAAAAATCTTTGTGGGACCACAAATTTATTTTATTAGTTGGTATTAAATGACTAACAAACAAAGGAAAAGGACATATAAATCTCACGGGGGTATTGCTGCAAGAACAGAGTAGTTTTCTGGGCTGTGGTGGTTCTGCTTTATCAGAGGTTGCTTCACTGAGCTAATCTCACCTGAAGATGAATCACCAACCTGCAATACAAATCCCAGATTCACAAGTTTTTCTAATAACAAAAATCAATTATCAGGAAATCCCAATTTCACACACATTACAACGAAATCCAAAACGAATGGCTTAAATCTTGAGAATGAAAATGTCGTGATTGTTTTGATAATCCCCACAATTTCTTCAGAAACAAAAAAAAATCCAAAATCAAGTCAAACCCTAACCTACACATTGCATTCGTATCGTACATCTCTGAATCCCTTAAAATCGAAACAAACAAAACTCAGAACAATTTATCTCCGCAACAAAAACCGAACGAAGAAAGAGAAAGAAAAATTATCAGAAGAGACGATGTGTAACGACAAGTACGAAACCTGTGAAAGAGAAGGGATCGATTGGTTCTCGGGGTCAAACCCCATGGCTACGGAAGCTTGATATGGATCCCGAGATTCGTGAGTGTGGTTTGTTGAAGGAGACGCAGATAAAAATCTCGTTCTGGGTTTGTAGAATTTGACTTTTCTGAGATTTGACCTCGACGCTTTCGAATTCGCAGAGGAGAGAAACGTGAGGAAGAGGAGACGACGACAAAATAATTGTCAGGGTGATGATGATAGCTGTTTAACGAGGGAGCTTTAAATAGTCTAATCTTAATTTCAAATTAGGATACTGTTTTATTTCCAATTAAAAATTCGTATTTTGCCGGCTTTGGTACCTATACAGAATTTACTAGTTATAAAACCATATTGATTTTGAGGTTTATTTCCCCTTTAATCAAATTGGCTGACGACCAAAAAAAAAAAAAATCAAATTGGCTTTTGCTTATAAACAAATTAGAAGCAAGATTCACGTCGAAGTTGACCATATACGACAAAAGATTTTATTATATAAAAAAAAAGAAACGCTTTTCGTTCATTTAATTAATTTAAGTTAAAAAGATTTGTTTTTGCTGGCAAAAAACAAAAATCATATTTTCTTTATAAAGCCAGCAATGCGTGCCGTTTATTTTATGATAGAAATGTTTTGGAAAAACATCTCATTCAGATATATTTGCTTATGACATGGAAGATCTTTTTCTTTGTTTACATTAGAAATTCTATATTGAGTTTTCTTCTATATATCTTTAATAAAAAACTCCGTCATTACCTCAAGATTAT